GAAATGTCAATCTAAATGTATTTATTAATATAATTAAATTTATTAGTCTTTTTGGATAAATGGTGGATGATAAAAATATCTTGTTACTAATCACTTTTATGTTCCAACAATTTTTATGTCCACATTTTCAATTTTCTGAATATTATTACATTTGATAAAGATGTTATTTATAAAACTTGGTTTGACTCGGAAAACTTTGCTTTTTAAAGTTTCTCAAGACTTTTCATTTTATAAAATATTGACTTTGATATCATAATCTTGATATGCGAACACTCATGATCGCAAATAGGATATAAAAATAATAAACTATAAAAAAATCTTTATATTATTTACATTTCATCGATAGAAATTAATATTTTATTAAATCAATAGAATTTCATTGCGAGTGTACTTATAGATTAAATAAAATACATTAAATTATATATTAAAAGATATATCATATTATTTAAATAAAATTTTACGGGAATATTTAAATAATCATCTATGATTGTTATTATGCAATTGTTATTTTATAACTATTATAACATTTCAATTTCATAGATTGAAATTTTATTTACTAATGAATGTTTTCTCTTAAAAATAATAAAAACAATGGATTATTTAGAATCAATACTTTCTGTAAAACAATTAATTTTTATAGACAAGAGACAATTTTTATATACATTTGGAGAAATATCTTTACCTTCTTAAATTGGAATACGATAGTTTATTGTTAATATTCTAATTTACGTAAAAAATTGAAAGTTTAATTTGAATATTTCGAGATATGTAAAAAGCAAAATTAACGATAAACAAAATGGTTAGCTGCATAAGTGTTATTACAAATGTGGCATAATAATTTATTCATTGACATGATAAAAATATTATTATGTATTAAGATTTTATTACGTTTAACATATAGAATTGTTATATATTATAATAGAATAAAATAAAATTATAAAAAAATGCAAACATTACGATAAACAATATCATATAACTAAAATATAATTAGATATTTTATTAATTGGATGCTGTGTATTTCATGATAATAAAAGAAAATGGAGGAAAGAAAACTTATCTTGATAATAAGATTACCATACAAGTCACTGTGAGTATGTACTGTCACAAACTTTACTTACAAACTTTGATATTCCTGCTTTACGATGTACTAGACATTATTTATAGAGTAGATTAGTCAAGAATTTTAAATAATTAAAATGTATACATAATATTATGATTTAAAATGTAATAAATAAGAAGTAGATTATAAATTCTAAATAAAAATTATCTCTGGATTACAGTTAGTATTTACGCTCTACCGAGCGGTCCTTCATAATAATTGATATTATCTGCATTTTTCGAAATAATATTCAAACGATGTGTTTTTCCCTCTCCAATAGTTTTTATGATTTCGCACACAAACGTTTTCTACTATTTACGTAAATTTCCGTGTTTCATGTCGCTCACCATTGCCCAAACACATAACCATACAAATGTTTCTTTTAAATTTTTCTCTTCTATAATTGTAACGAAATAGATAAGAAAATTCATGAATTAATAATTGATAATTAGAATATAAATAATTTAATACAATCGTCGTGATTAACATTATAAATGAATTATTGAACGGTGAATAATTATATTGTGCTAATAAATTCAAATAACTCAGAAATTCGTAAATATGCTACGTCGCTTGTTTTTCTTTTATTTTTTTCTTTTTTTTTTTTTAACTAAATTTATTACAATTATATTATTCTTAACGTATCGTGCAAATTTCAATTTTATGTAATTTTTATAAATATTAAATTTATAACTTTGATAAATATTTGCAGAATTTGAACCGGACTCGAAAATTATACGACTACTATTCTCAAATATTTTCATCTTACTTTATCTTTATTGTGCTACTCTCTTTTTTTTTCTTACTTTTGCATAGTGACTAATTCAAGGTGGATAATTTAGTGAAACAATGTCACTTCTAATAAAAAGTAATAGACTGGTAAATTAAAATTTGTTTTTAATATAAAATCTCTTTAAATAGTTAGTTCTTTATGTTTTTACAGTCTAAACGATTATATTTAATGAAATTTGAATATAATTGTTCAAAAAAGTGTGAGCTCGATTTTAAGCAAATATAATATTTGAACAAATAAAACACGATAAACTTAATTTTTCTAAATGGAAAAATTTTCTGAACGGAGTTTTGTATTATCGAGGAAATTTTAATAAGATGAGATGTTTGGTCGTAACTTTTATTCTTGTCTCAATTTCAATTATAATCTTCGATAAATTTAAAGTAAAAAATCTTTTCCGCACATAAAATATATCGATTTAAAATACGAAATTTTTGTACAATTAAATATAGAAATTTAAATAGATATGATAGATAAGGTAATCAAGTTTACATTGAAAATATATTATTTATAGTATTAACCGATTGTATGTAAAGTATATAAAAATTATCTTAAGTAAAATTTATTTTTATTATATGTAAGTTTAATAAATTGTTTCAATAATTTTTACTTGTTTATAAGTTGCGCGATAAATAGTTTGAGAGCCAACACTTCGTGTATTTATAATAATATGTATTTTTAATTTATCGTTCGATAAAATAGAAGAATATATTAAACCCTTATTTATAAAATTTTTTCATTCATATTAAGCTGTATTAATAAGAATACCAAAACTTATCAATTAACTAAAACTTTATAGGTGATATGCAAATATAACTATTATTAATTAATACGTATACAAGTATCATAAAGGATTTTTAGAAGAATGAATTAAGATAAGTTACATAATAACAAGACATATATATGTAATGAAAGCATATTCTAGTTGTAGTGACTTTCACACGGCATTTTATAGTAAAGAATCTTTCTTGGAAAATGTACAAATATAGCTGAAGGCAACTACGTTAATAATTTAATGTATAATAAATATATTAGAAATGTCATTAATATAGTTTATGAAAGATATATTTAGTTTTAAGAATTTGGATATAAAACTTATGAATAGAATGTTTTCTTATTGTAAAGAGCTTTGACTACATTAAAAAATATTCTTCATAGCGTATAAGTGAGCATGAATTTTAAAAAATATAAATGTATGAAAGTAATTGAATTTAATACTAATAATTTTTAATGTATGATGAATAAATGGTTTTCTAGTTTAATACAGAATTTTGGTAATTTTAATAATATGTGTGTGTATGTGTGTGTGTGTGTGTGTGTGTGTGTGTGTGTGTATGTGTGTGTGTGTGTGTGGGATAAATGATATTTATGAATTATGATATTATAAAGAAAAGTAATGAATTTAAATTTCAGTGCTCATAAAACGACTATTATATCGTTTAATTAACTATAAATGCTATAAAATTTAAAATAAATACATAATTTACGAAAATATCAGAAATTTATACTTACGGATTGGCACACATTTCATAAAAATTTCTTTATTAATGCGCGTGAAATTACAAATAGCATTAAGCGAGTGAGCTATAAAAATTTGTTTTTGAGGAAAATCAAGTTTAATAATTACCGCCCAGAGGTGGTCCATCCATGTAATACAGGGTGACATTTTATCTCAGTAGACATAGTTTACGAGAGGAAAGATTTGAGAGAGAGAGAGAGAGAGAGAGAGAGATGAGGGGGGGAGGAGGAGGGGGGGGTGAGAGGAGCGAGGATACAAACTCCTATCAGGCAATCCAAAATTAGTAAATTCCCTTTACCATTGTGTTGTGGCGATTATTTCATTTGTTGCTATTAATCACCACTACTTTTGCTTCTAAGTTCCGTTATCATCACCGTGATTGTCTTACTGAGCTTCAAGCGAGATAATTTTTTAATAAGGCACCTGCCCTTCGGTAAAAGATAGATAGCCCCGTAATATAACCAGCTCCGAAAACTCTCTTTCCCCGACGTTTCGGCTACGATACAAAATTAGCAAGATTTCACTCGGCAATTAATGAGCTCTGAGATGTAATTAGAGGAAACCACGAGGCCTCCCGCTCGCCTTACCCCAGCCTCTCCAGGCACATTGCAAGTTGTTTCATTTTAGGAGAAACAAGGCAAAGAGGTTTTGTTGACTAATGAGCTAAATTTTACTGCATTGCCGCCGAGAAGAGCCGTAATAAATAGAGCGACCGAAGAAGAGAGAGAAATGGAATGGCCAATGCCATTCACAGCCTCTATTAAACATCTGCCTATGGACCGTAGTGCAACGCACCATAATACCGTCGCACTCTCTCGACTGATCTTACTCCCGACCTCCCTCTCCCCTCGCTGTCCTATCGTGAATCGCAAGATTATCATCCGGATTATGTCGTCCGAGCACGATCGCATTCGTCAATTATTTCTCGTCAGTGTGCAAAATCCAGCGAAAAACATCGAGGATAAGACAGATTCGCCCGCTCGTATCTGTCTCCCTCGTCCCACTTTTATCACTTTTATTTATTAGCTCGTAATATCTCCCGTGCGTGAAATGCCGGCCCGACCGACCAACACTTTTGTGGCGTTTATCACGCGCAAATAATGAAACCTAATAATGCCCTGAGAAATTTGAGGGACGTAAGCGCTTGCATTGTCAGAACCTTTTTATACTTTCTCACCTATTATTTTCACGATGAGTCTCTTTCACTTCTCGCCGCCGACGCATTTACTACTTTTTTTTTACTTTATGCAGTGGCTACATCATTAAACGCTATCTCGCTTTCGAATGACTGGGGCAGTCGATATTGTTGGGATATCGTGATACAACAATTGTCCCTCCGCAGTCAAATGTGAGAAGCTTGATCGAGGGCCTCGACAACTTCACGAAAATCCGAATAAATCGAGAAGTTTCATGCTGTTTTAACGAGCTCCTACTCCAGACTCAATCGCCGAATAATTTCACCAGAACGACGTCAAATTTTAATGAAACACCAAGTCGAGTGCAGCAGGCGGCTGAGCACACCATTTCATGCGCTACAAAGAGCGGCTTAATCCATAATAATTCAGACACGCAGGTAGGTAGGAACTTACCGTCTATATCAATTTCATCCAACATGGTGCGAAGCTCCTCGGCTCTGGCGAATTGTCCGAGGGAGCGCATAACCCTGCCGAGCTCGTCCTTTGTAATACTTCCGTCGCCATCGTTGTCAAACAGTCGGAAGGCTTCCCTAAATTCTGTGGATAAATAAAAATGTACTCGTGAATTATGATTTGATATGGAATTATGATTACGGAGCCGCTGGCATGCAAGATAATTCAATGAAAAAAATTATTATAAGAGAGTGGTAAAGAGGTAGAGAGGTAGAGAGGTAGAGAGGTAGAGAGAGAGAGAGAGAGAGAGAGAGTAGTAGTAGTAGTAGTAGTAGTAGTAGTAGTAGTAGTAGTAGTAGTAGTAGTAGTAGTCGATTATACATTTATCGTGAATTAGTTTTATAATACATACATCGATATAAAGTCGAATTAGATATTACATGTATTATATCGACGTCCTTTAATTATCGGTATGCGGTATTATTTTGCATAGAACTTCCATTAGAGCATTACAGGGGATTAATTTAAAGATTCGCGAAAGAATTAATAAATTGCTACTCTTTTTTCTCAAATCGTTATATATATTAATTGTAAACTTAGTTAAAATGTTGGCTATTCATATTCAAAACCGTCTTTACTTGCTTTCAATTGATTTTACTTTCTAAAAATTGAATTTACTCTCCGATAGACGCGTTTATCGACGACTTTTTCTGGTATATTATGAAGGTGTTGAAGGTGGGATAAAAAAGGAAAAAAAAGATAAAAGAAAAAATCCAAGTCATCGTGATAAGATAAAATTAAATCTTAAATATTAATGAAAACATATTTATCGATATAAGATTGATAAAAATGTAAATAAATTATAATTAAATTATCATCGTCTGGATCAAAGTATTAGTTACAACAAGTTATTTTGCACTATAAAGATATTCAAATAATGCAAAAATTCAGTTTATATGATCGATATTTACTGTCTTAATCCTATTTTGTGTCTGGTGTAATAAAAGCCTTGTACTATCCATTATCACATAAAAAAAAAAAAAAAAAAAAAAATGCACGTACTGCGCTTATTAATATTTTATAAAGTTTTTAAGTTTTTAAATATTATCTGCCCGATAAATAATAATTTGACTTCATTTTAGCTCTTTACGATATTAAATCGTGTAACATTAATTGCAAAATGATATATGTCGAAATAAAACAGACCTCCAACTGCGAACGATTCGATGATCTGATGTCACAGCTTAATTATTCAATGTTCAGCTTAAATAATTCGAAATATTAATCGATAAAAACAATTTTAAGACTAAAAATGAATTAATTAGATATGGCGAAAAAGTGCTGTACTTGATTATTTAGACATTCGGTAATTAATTGCAACACTATTCAAACGAAATTTTCTAAACAACGTGTCTTTGTTATTAATAACAATTTTTATTTGATTCCATAGTGAATTGATTGTATTGTATTTTATAATAAATATTGGTTATGTTTATTTTTATTGATTCTTTAAGTATTGTATCGCATAAAATATCATTTGTTTTGAGCGCGATGTCTCTTCTATCGCTTTCTCATTCGTCAGTGAAAGCCCGTTCGTCATTATCTAGTTCCGATAGGAAATGGATTAAAATTTTATATCGGTGATTTGATTTAACAACTTACGCCCCGTAGTCGAACACGCGCATTAATTTGTTTTTATTTTTCAAGCACAGATGTACGATGAACGGGTACATTACTTTGACGCTAATTCGAGATATTAAATCGAGTGCCTCCGTATCAAAGACAACGTTCGTTTGTGCGATAAATGTTGGAAAATTAATTGCCAACTATAAGAGAAATTCTATAATTCTGAGCAATTAGTGACATATGATGCGCCGTAAAATGAGTTTATTCCATGGTTTATGTATAAAGGCAATTTGATCTGCGATACTTCTCCATTGTAGCCAATGGGAACAAAAAGATGTAATAAACGGCGGGAGAAAAATATTTCTCGTTAATAACAGCGTGCGTATCACCACGGACTCGTGTAATAATTCACTTATTTAACGTAAGTCAACGAAATTGCGAATATTCCAAAGTGTTGGAATAATTAGAATAAAAATTAGTCAAGCAATCGAGTCGAAAATTCATTGACTAAATTAACAAAATTACCCAGTTTTTGTGCACAACGGCATTTCATACTTTCATCATTTCATGATTGTCTAACTATTTAATGATAATACAACGCATAAAATCATAAATCAAACATATAAGATATCCCCAGCACATTTACATACAGTTTAAATCATCGATAATACTTTTAATGTCACATTCGTTCCTTTTTCATTGCCGATGCATGATTTACTGCACATTTCATCTAGAGCAGATCTAAGTAGTTACTAGGCTTAACTACTTAAACAAACATCGCTCCGAAAATACCAACTAATACCCATTAATCAGGTGTCCGAAGCTCAATCATCGACGGCCTTTACATTGGTTGTGACCACCACCAACCAACCAAACCCCCCCCCCCCCCCTCCTCCACTTCTTATTGAGTCGGAGAGTAAATCGTTAGTGTACGCAGTGTAGCTGGTGACTCTCACTCGCGATTTATTACGGAGAAGAATGTTTCAGTGCTCCCCGACCCCCCCCCCCACAAATCAATTGGCTTAAATGGTGGACAGGTGGGAAATTATTGGAGATAAATGTAATGCAAAATACGCTTGGTCAACTTATTCCCATGTCGGCTGCACTATTATTGTACCGCCTCGTTTTTCTCTTACCTCGGAAATACCAAAGCGACGGCGAAAATGTTATGCAGGCTTTAAAAAGCTTTTCTATCGAGACTTTTGCCCAACAAAAGAGAGAAGGAAAAAACCGTGAATAGTCCCACGACAGTGGCTGATTCGAATTCGATTCTTCCTCTGCCAACTTAATCAACGCTTTCCTTCAATTTCGACCGCTGACTGATAACTCGCGCGATACTCAAAATAATGACTTTTCTCTCCCCTTGTCGATACGTACGAATTATGCAACCTCTTACATTTAATCAGTATGATTTATGGTAGAAAAAATTATGTATAAATACATATATACGTACTCATATATTTTATTTTAACGCAATGGTAACGGTAAAAGTGAACGGTAAAGCTTCGCTGATGTATTTATGAGTCGAAGATTATTTTTATATATATTTCCTCGTTCCTGAAGTTTAAAAGTACCGAAGAAAAATCTTATATCCAACTTTCTTTTGCATTCTCTTGGATTTACGAGATGAAAAGTAGTATGCAAATGTAACACCTTTAACTTGTAAATGTAATCAATCAAGCCATACGTGGAACTTATCTGTGAATATTGAAATATTCACGTTCATTCGTATTCACGAAACGCACGCGCGCGCGCGCGCGCGCACACACACACACACGCACACAATTGATTGTATTAAAAATTAAGATAATAATGAAATCAACATTTCATTGTCTGTATTAGAATTTTTATTGTAAACTCATTGAATTATTTTATTAATTTTGTATAATTTACAGCTTATTGAATCATGGGCATAAATAATATTAAATTCGAGCTATTTAAAAGTAATGAAGATTTTTTCATTTTTCTAAAAACCATCGAAATCTATAAAGAGAACATAATGTAAAAAACAGATTTTACATATTTTAAATAATTATTTAATATGTGTAGCAACGCGAAGAGTTTGCAATCCGAGGATCTAATTATTCTTTTATAACATGACACATCTGTACTACTAACATTTATCGCATTGGGACCGTGAAATTGAAAATACCTTTATTATTATATGTTTATGCTTGCTCTTTTCGCTGTTGATAAATCCTCACGAACACACGCGCGGCTTTTCGTTGATTCATTAATGTAGACGCATAGCGACTTATTCGCCTGACGAAAATTAACGAAGGAATTTGAGAGAGGTGCGGCATACGAATAATTGTACTTAACGGATATTTCATGACAAAGAGAACGAGTTGCTCGTTGAAGAAGCTGCGTGTTAACCAGAAGAAAATAATTATGGAGAGAATCATAGTTGTTCGGTTGTTCATCTGGTAATGTTTTCATTGCTTTTTATTGGAGCAGCGGTAAAGTAAAATTATATCCATATAAATTGTTCACATAATACATGTGTGTGTTTTTAAAAAAAAAATTATAAATTATTTATCTTATTTGTTAACTCTACGTTAAAATAATGACATAGTTAGATGTTAAATAATTCTCGATTATCTTCATTTACAAATTATTCCAACGGCATTTACTATTCGATCATTAGTAACCACAAATAGAACATAATACTTATCGAGTCAATTCCTATTACATTCAGTTGCTAATGGTAGATTACATTAGTTAAAAAAAAAGAAAAAAAAAAAAAAAAAAAAAAAAAAAAAAAAAAAAAAAAAACGACTAAATCCGAAATTAGAAATTAAAAGTAATTAAAAATTGGTAGTATAGAAAGATATGAATTTTCAGCTTATGAAAATTATGCGATCGGCAACGAATAGTGTGCAATATTTATTAGAGGAAATAAATTCATCAGTTACGAGTATATCGAAGGAAGGTGCATGTTTTTGATTGGTAATTAATTTCAATTGTCGCAATAATGAAAATATTTCAATCGAGTGATTATTCGAGCAAATCGAACACAGTAGTAAACTGATAATTACAAAAGATTTATAACGACATTAAATAATAATTTACATTTCGGCTATAAAACAATCAATTATATATATATATATATATATATATATATATACATATACACGGATAATTATATTATGTAATATAATTTATGTATCGTCTATTTAGTATGCACACTGATTTTAATAAATAAAAGACTCCCTTTCATGGGAAGTCCTCGGAAGTATAAAATTATTAAAATAATACAAAACTAAAAAGTCAGTATCGCGTTAAAATTGTGGATATTAGTTTCGTCCGTATTGCTGTCCGTCACTTTAATGTTAAGTGATTTTTAAAGAAACGAAGGTGTTGTGAAAATACTTTTCACATTGATACTTCCGATCTATGATATTACGTACCTTAGGGGGCGCAAGTTGATGAAAAACCATATTAAATAAAGTACGTGCTTTGATACGTTGAGCAATGATCCATAATAATCGTTCCCTTATCGCTGCCGCATACATATTATGTATATCCTTTCTTATCTCAATGATTTTTATTTAAATATTCTTATTGCCCTATTCTTATCAAATGTTATTAATGAGCTAAAGTACTTGGCAATTTCTCATTGCCAACCGCTCAACGTGAATATTGATTTTGAAATAAGTAAGTCAATATTGCCGGTAGAGACAAGAATTTTTTACATTCCAAGGTGAATGGGGGAGAGAGTACGAAAACTTTTCGAATTATATAAGTATATTCGAAGTTGAGCATAAATTGTTGAAAGGAAAAATATTTTTAATCAAAGCACGTAAGATTAATTATGTGAAATATTTCTAATGCAGTTGGAAAAAAAGTACTTTACTCCCCAAACGAATATCCCCGAATATTCGATAATCCCATGATATTCAATGGGAGCGACTCGATCATTATTTACTCGAGGCGCCGCTAAAATAGAGCAGCACAACGGGCGTCCAAAACTTGCTTTAAAATGCTCTCTTGATACGCTCCAACAACATCCGAATAATAAGTAAGACGAGCTTCAGCGTATAAGTACAGAGCGAGAGTGCTGGGACGAGTGGATGGATGGATTTGGGGGGGGGGGGAGAGAGGAGGAGATGTTCATCATTCATACGCTCGCGTATCCGTAGCGGCAACTACTTTCTTTCAGTTTGGCGATTGGAATCTTCAGACACGTATGAATTCATCCCAATAGGCCATATCGGTCACGTTGTAACCACAGCGTAATAAGCAATGACAACTAGCAGCATTACATTAGTTTTTTTTGGAATTCAAAGCTGATCTCTCAGACTTGCCGTAAAGTCAATTGAGAGCGTTGATTCGGATCGGAATGGCCAAATTGGATAAATACATCAAGAAAGTGCAGTTTGGCCAATCATATCCTCGTGAAATTTGCGGCGGTAGGAGGACAGATGAGGCATTAGTTATTGGGGCTGTTGGCTCGAACATGGTAGTGATGGTGGTGGTGACGGTGATGATACCGATTGCGGCGACGGCGGCGACGGCGGCGGCGGTTGGAAGGGTTGGTGGTGGTGGTGGTCTGGGAGGAAGGCGGGAATCGAACGTACTCGGGTATTCCGAGCAAGTACCCAATGTGCGGCATGTGCAACCGAGGCTGCGAAGCGTTCCGCGAAGATTTGAGAAAACTAGGGCGAGTACGGGGATCTCTCATCGATTTGCTTATCAAACGCATTGACGTTTGCGCGAATAGCTTTATCACTTCCCTATTCCCCCTCCCGCCCCCATTATTGGCTGAATAAATTTCCAGTATTCGCCTTGGACGTTGCAGAAAGCCTACCATACTCAAGCTATTAACTTAATACTACCAATTTCTTTCGATCTAATTGGCTATTCGGAGAATAGGGAGTGAGAGGGCCACGGCCAACTCTAGCGCGATCTGGTCGTCGATGATTATTGCGCGCAATCGTGAAATTGTGCTGACTCCTCAAAATAGACTTAAGAAATAAATATCGATGCTCTTGATGTACCTTTCATCTGCGCTTTGGTGATGTTGGGCTTTTTCACGGCGAGACTGGACATTAGCTGATCGGACCTCGATGACGGAACGCCGACTCTTCTGGAGCTGCTGGGGACGGAGGAAGAGTACGTCGCGCCGCTCACCTCGGCGGGGGGAAATTCGTACGAGCAGGAGGCGCGCTCCTGACTCCTGCATTTCTGCATTGCATAAACATTATTTACGACGTTTATTTAGTTTAGCCGTGCGTCGCCTTCCGTACATCGAGCTACACTCCCGCGATACTCTACAACGTACTTTAAAAATCCTCCATCGACGGGCGTATAATCAACGATTGGAAAGGCCACGTGCAAGCAACGTACTATCAAGCTACATTATCATATAAAACGAAGTTAAATCGCGACCAATGAGTATCCGGCGCCATTATTCCAATGCCCTTTACTGAAATTCTTTCTCGCTTTTGACCGGTGCAGGTCGACCGTACGAATTATTTCACAAGCGATCGGGATCGATGTTCAACCAGGCGCGCAACGGAGCTTTTACTCCTCCTCGTTTGATGGATTTTTAAATAGATCGAAGGCGGCAACAAGAAGTTTCCAATTGAGCTTCCGAGCTCCCGCACACACAACTGCGTAATAAGTGACCGATAAAGTCCAGTCAGCGTCGGTCAGCGAGTGACAAACTTTGCCCATTGGCTCCCGTTCGCTAAATCAAACTAGAATTTAATCAAAGCTCCAGCCGCGAGTCAATCGACGATTAGCACAAAGTCATCGAATTATGCCCGAATCAATGAGAATTTCAATAAACTGTTCCCGGCTTTGCGCCCCCACCCCCCACTTTTCACCCAGCCCATCTCACTCTCGTTAAATACAGATGCCGAATGCCAATCCGAAGCCAAAGCAAGTCGTCTCGCCAGGCATATGAGCACGGACGCGCACGCACACCACCCCAATCCCTAAATCCCGGATCGCGCGATCGCGATCCCTAAATCGCCGCCGCAAACCTCCCTTTATAAAGCTACAAAGCAACGGGGTGAAATTACGGTGCGCTGCTGTTGCTGTTGCTGTTGCTGCTGCTGTTGCTGCTGTTGTTGCTGCTGTTGTTGCTGCTGTTGTTGCTGCTGTTGTTGCTGCTGTTGTTGATCGAAGGCCGACGGCGACTCGACGAGGCTCGGCTGCTGCGTCGGCGGCTCGATGCTCGGCTGCCGCGGAAGAAGCTCCGGATTCGGCTGCTGCTCCGGCGTCCCATCGCCGCCGTCCTCCGGATTGCTGCCCTTGGCCGGGAAGAAGCGGGAGCAATGACGGCCCGCGAACACGGACTTGAGAGTGCCGACGAGGTGAGAACCCGAGGGCAAACCCACCGATGGCTCCTCGTCCTCATTGGCAACAGCGCTGCTTTGACGAGTCTGCAACGTGGAAAACGAGATTGCGTCAATGATAGCCCAACCCATTAGTCCTGGCGGAATAGTGGCGAGAGGGGTGGATGTGGTGGATGGGGAAGGGAGATGCGGATACGGAGCTTAACACGCCCCGATGCTTTATCGAGCCTAAGTTCCTATGGGACAATGTGATTGTTGCTCCGGGATAATGGAGTATATTATGTATCACAATGCTCAAGTGCCTCTATCTTATCTACATATCAACTATTATTTATGTAGTATTTCTAATGAGGTGCGGGTATCATTTGTCTCGCATCTTATCCGCTCTTGGCGATTATTTCCAAATAACCATGGGGTAAGTGAACGCGCGTGTCGTTACGATAAAGGATCGATTTAACGCACGTCCTTATAAAGTAATTTCATGGGTATTTTAATTTACTTTATCGCAAAGGCAATCGATAGTTTATTAAAGCTATTTCTTCGTATCTTTATCTACAGTTTCTCATATTATCATTGTTACTACTACTACTACTACTACTGCTACTACTACTACTACTACTACTACTACTACTACTACTACTACTACTACTACTACTACTACCACTACTACTACTACTACTACTACTACTAATACTACTACTACTACTACTACTATTATTATTATTATACTACTATTATTATTATTATTATTATACTACTATTATTATTATTAATATCATCATTATTATTATGAAAATTTTGTTTCAAAGCCATTTAATTTAAAACAATTTAAAAAACGCGTTTACTTTAATTTATCCTTACTCATTTATTGACAGATGAGACCGCGTTGTTGTATTATTTCGGACTCTCGTAATCATATTTAAATCTACATTATCTATCTACACGACTAGAGCTTATACAAGCTCATTATACTCACATCTAATTTAAATAGCTTCTTTGTAAATAATTAATTATATATTTTCACGCGTGTTTCGTGCGTGTGCGTGCGTGTGCGTGTGTGTGAGGGATCGATTTAATTTTCAGAGCGACGAGGCGCAGAAGCTTCTTTCTTATTCATAACGTTTACCCGCAAATTTAAAGTATTATTTTAATTGTTATTGTGAAAGAGAGGGACGATAAATTAACGTGGAAGCTTTCAACTTGAGAGTAAAATTTAATTAATATAAAAAGTTAATACATTATCGTATTAAAGCGACAAAGCCCATAAATGTTAATATTGTTAAAGAAAAACTTTATACACTTCATATGCACTTTATATACAATTTAAGTAGTAAGTTATTTTATTGTTATTCAATAATTAATATCGATATATTTATAATTTATAGGATAGTAAAATGTTTATAAATTTTAAGATAATGTATTATATGCATTTTCAGTCAATGTTAACGCTTCAACAGAATTTCTAAAAATTCTACGATACATATGTGCAGAATTCGTTGAAATAAAAATAACTTTTAAGCTAAAATAAAAGAATAAAAATTTGTTCAGAAAAAATGTCTAGATACGTAGCAATTTCTGTAAAACAATGATGATACTTTATTTTACAGCAATTTTCTGGATATCTTTTTATAAAATTGATCGAAAAATATTAATGCTTAGTATTGTTTTTAAATTATTTTTTATATGAGAATAATCAAAAAACATACCTCTATTATTGTTAACAATAAGTCTATTTGACATATATAGAATCTCGAGAAGTTTTAACAAGGAAACTTTAATTTTTTATTATAATACTTTATTACGTTTAATAAAAGTAATTGATTGTTATAATTAATGTTTGTCATTATCATGGCTCTTTTCATCAGAAGAATTCGGTCATTATTAATTTAATGGCTTACAGAGATTAAATTTAATTTACAAACTTTCAATAATAAATATCTACCTACATCAATAATTGGAAATTCCAATAGTATTTTATTTTTAATTATATTTTTAATTAATAAAATTGTGTTTACACGTGCCCACGTACATACACACACGCGCGCACACGCGCGCACACACACGCACACACACACACACACACACACACACATATATATATATATATATATAATTGATTTTCTGATAAATAATACGATGTTCAAGCTATGTTTGAATAATTAAATGCCAATGAAATATTTGAAAATTTTTTTCGAGCATATAAGATATCTCGTATATTCGTGTAAAAAGTGTACGTATCCTATAAAATATTAAATCCTGAAAAACAATTCATCCTGACCAATGATTAATTTAGTCTCGTATGTTTCGGACAGAGATTCGTGGTCGATATGTCGCAAGGAATGCATTTATTTACAGGTTATTCAAAGAATTGTGCTCAATCCTGAAATACCCAGGACATTATCGGACGTAGACAAATGAACGAGACAGCCAGATACCACTATCCGAAGATATCCATAGGCACGTCGACGGATACGAATAGGTTTTTTTGGTCCTTTTACTCGTGAAATGGCGGCTCACTTTCTCTAGGAATAATCCGATGCTATTCGATTCCTGCACGCGAATGGTAGTCTACACGTTCGGGAGACTCTTTCGCTTGTGATGTGGTAAGGACTCGGAAGGCGTAAGGGCGATTCGAGTGGATTTTCGATTTCAGGAAATTGTGCACCGCCCACACACATTTAGCAACAAGCTACGGAGGTGACGATTTGGGATGCCTGCAAGCGGCATCGCTTGGATTAAAATCCCAAGCTCGGATGACTTTTGGCTGAATTTCTTATAACCGAATGAAGTAAAAAGGGATTTGGACGAAATAAGTTTTTTATTTTGGTTACAAAATCCAAATCGACTCGATGGTTTCGAGAATAATTTGCAAATGTAAAATTGCGATTCTGCTCGTATCCAGTTACTTCGGTGTTAATATTAGATCAGCGATTTTAGCGTCAGCGTTTTTCCAAAGATTGATCAATAATAAAACGTGCTGATAGAAAGCCGTGAAAGATGATTAAAAAGTAGATTGACGTGATAATGAGAGGCGATCAAAGGGTTTCTTTATCGTAGTATATTTTTTTCTTCTAGAAATAACAAAGATTAGACTGCGCTAAAGCCAATTACAGTCGTGACAGGAACATGTTTACATTAGTATTTTACACATATATGCATACATTAAGTATAATTCCAAGTTCGATATTATGATTCTTAGTAAGTAACTACCAAAAACCGGCTTATATAGTACAAAATAGGTTTTTTAATTAATTAAAAATTTGGTATAAAATTGTGTGCATAAAATGTGTTTTATAGTAGAACTTATGATACTTTGCTTAAATAAACTTATAATTTCATTAGTTTTTCATGATTATAACAGATAATCGATAAAATATTAATAAAGTACTCGTAAAATTTCAGTTCTTATAAATTGATTATATAGTTTGAAAACTTTGTTTTCTAGAAATTTTAACTTTATGAACATCTTTTATGAACTATCTTAAAAGATTTTAATGCAATTTACTATTAACAAAGATCTAAATCACCTTCTCTATCTTTTTATAATATCATATTTTTTAAGTAGCTGAAAAATGTTATTCAACGAATCTTTTAATCCTTATATTTATGTTTTTTATATAATTTAAATATAGCTGAATGAATAATAGTTAATCACTTTATATAATAATAAATGAAAAAGATTATTTACAAAATAACTCGTTTATATATTAATTTGTAAATATAATTTAAATTATAAGAAAGTTCATGTTATAAAGTTATACGAGTCGAATAAATAGAATATCTACATAGATAGAAATAAGAGTGAACACCATTATATTTTATTTATAATTGTTTAAAGCAGTGGCTTATTAATTACATAATAATGTTCGATGGCTACAGATAAATTTGTCTATTATTTAGAGAAAAGATTGTGCATGAAATAGAATTAAATTTTAGCACAATATTATCCGACATTATAAAGTAAAAAATGCCGATAATTAACAATTATTGCTCATTGTGTAGACATAATTTTA